AAACTTAACGCACAAACCGTAAAGAACGCCGGCCCTCTCCCTCGGATTGATGACCTCCTTGAGCGGTTAGGCGGCGCGATGTACTTCTCGAAGTTGGACTTGAAGTCAGGTTACCACCAGATTGAAATCCAGCCTCAAGATCGGTACAAGACCGCGTTCAAGACGCGGTACAGGCATTTTGAGTGGGTTGTTATGCCCTTTGGCCTCACCAATGCCCCCGCAACTTTTCAAGTAGCTATGACGACTGAGTTTCGCGACTTGCTCGATCGCAGCGTCCTCATCTACCTCGATGACATCTTGGTCTATAGCAGGACGTTGGACGAGCACATCACACACCTTCGCGCTGTTTTGAATCGTTTGCGACTGGCCAAGTACAAAGCAAACCGCGACAAGTGCGAGTTCGCCAAGCAAGAGCTTGAGTATTTGGGCCACTATGTTATGCCGAAAGGCATTCGTCCCTTGGCGGACAAGATCCAAGCGATCGTGGATTGGCCGGAACCCCGTTGTACGACGGATGTACGCTCTTTCATGGGTTTGGCTGGATATTATCAGCGATTCGTCGAGTCATACTCGAAAGTGGCCGCTCCTTTGTCGAGACTTGAGTCCCCGAAGGTGCCCTTCGAGTTCGACGACGCAGCCCGTGGCGCGTTCACTACGTTGAAGGCAGCAATGCAAGCCGCACATGCCCTCCGTATATACGACCCCACCCTACCCACCCAAGTGACTACGGACGCTTCGGGATACGGTATTGGTGAGGTGTTGGAACAGTGTCACGAGGACGGTTGGCATCCGATCGAGTATTTCTCCCAAAAGGTGCCTCTCGTCAACACTCTCGACGACGCTAGGAAGAAAGAGCTACTCGCGTTCATCACCGCTCTCAAACGGTGGCGCCACTTTCTTCTCGGCCGTCGGCGTTTTAAATGGAATACGGACAACAATCCGTTGACCTTTTACAAAACGCAGGACACGGTCACTAGCACGATCGGTCGATGGATGTATTACATCGACCAGTTCGATTTTGACCCGTGCCACATTCCCGGTCCCGCCAATCGAGCTGCGGACGCCCTCTCACGACGGCCCGACTTTTGTGCCATTGTGACCATGGCATTCGACCTCGATGACGATCTGCAGCCGCATTTCGTCAAAGGCTACAAGTCCGATCCGACTTACTCTACGCTATATGCAGAGCTCTCATCCGATCACCCGCCGGCTAGCCACTATCGGATTTCCGACGGGTTCCTTCTCCTTCACACGAGAGGAAAGGACTTGGTTGTGCCCCAAGATCGCATCTTACGGACTTGTCTTCTTGGCGAATTCCACGACGCACGACTTTCGGCACACCTTGGCGTGAACCGCACATTAGCACGCCTCCGCCAGCATTTTCACTGGCCCGACGTCCTTCATGACGCCACGAGGTACGATGAGTCATGTGCAGTTTGCCACCGTAACAAGGGTCGATCTCGAGTCCCCTTCGGCGAACTAAAACCGTTGCCGATTCCTCGGGCACCACGCCTCTCCATTGCTATGGACGTGACAGGCCCGTTCCCCCACGATCGCCACGACCATGACGGTATTCTCACGGTTCTTGACCGTTTGAGCAAGTACGCTCGCTTTCTTCCTTGCAAGTATCATGCTGCAACGCCGGAGCTCGCACGACTCTTGCACACCGGTTGGATTACCAACCAGGGTGTTCCGGAAGACATAGTGAGCAACCGAGATACTCGCTTCATGTCGACCTTTTGGACTTCCCTCATGGCTGAGTTCGGTACGACAATGAAGCCGAGCTCGGCTCGGCACCCGCATACAGATGGTCAGACGGAGCGAGCGCACCAGACCGCTCAGATGATGTTGCGTACGCTGATCCGTCCCGACCAGAAAGATTGGGTTGACCGGCTTCCCGACATCGAGTTCGCCTAYAACACTTCGGTGCACCCGGCGATTTGCATCACACCATTCGAGCTACATCATGGTGGAGAGAAAGCACGGATCTTCGCTGATCTCCTTTTGCCACAGGCTGCCGACATAGACGTCCCTTGCTCTCCCGCTTCCGTTCGGAAGTACCGGGACTTGCTGACCAAAGCCCGCGCGAATATGCAAAAGGCTCAAATCCGCAACAGCAAGCAAACCGACATCAACTTCCATGTCCTTTCCGCGAGGGAGACCTTGTTTGGGTCCTCTCCGAGGAATTTGCGCTCGAGCAGGACGTTTCGCGCGAACTCCTTTCGAAATGGTTCGGACCACGCGAAGTCACTTCTGCCGTTGGAGACGACCCCTCAGGTCCTTCCTTCGTGATCAACATTCCACCGCACGTGACAGTGCATCGGGTCTTCCATGCATCGAAGCTGGCCATCTACACGCCACCTTCGGTTGACGAGTTTCCCGGACGTCGATCACAGGATCCGCCTTCCATGGACGGACATCAGGAAGTGGACCGAGTCATCACGCACCGCAAGTATGGCAACAAGCCAATGCAGTACAAAGTCACATTCGAGCAATGTGCGCCTGATGACACTCGGTGGATCTCTAGTGCAGACTTGCAGACTTCTGCACCCCTTATCTTCGCCAACTATGAGAAGACACGACTTGCCAAGGCAGCAGCTCGTCCCACCCATCCCAGTATCGGACAGACAACTCCGCCCTCGCAAGTAGCTCAGTCTTTTAAGAGGGGGAGTGTGTTACATCTTCGACGCCACACGGGTCCTACCGGACCCGACTTAGGGTTAGAGGGACTCAGTAGGGCCTAAAGGCCCGACCTTGGGGGTACTACAGGCCGTAAAGCCCTTACCTTGGACCAGACCTGACGGGCAGGCCCAAACAACATTACCGTTTGGGCCTGGCGGCGCTCCTGAGGCTGCCGCCCGCCGGTTGGGGCTGAACCGTCCATCTTGACGGTTGAGGGCACGGCCAGGCCTTGCAGCATTGAGGCCGGCCTCTGCCCCACCGGTACAAAGTACCGGTCCAGCCTCATTGAGGCTATCGACGCTCCAGCACTCTAATGGTGTGGAATGGTACGGCGCGAATCAGTGCTGGCGCTATGTTTAGCGCAGGAGCATGAGGAGCAGTGCAGCATTAGCGCAGCAGCAGCAAGCGAAGCAGCAGCAGCAGCGGCGACTGGGCGTATCGGCGGCCATAGCCGCCTGAGGTATCGGGAGTCGGAGGTTTCTCTCCTCCCTCCCATCGCCAGTCCCCTCTCTCTCTCTCTCTCCTCCTCGGCTCCCTTCTTCTTCTTCTTCTTCTTCTTCTTCTTCTTCTTCTTCTTCTTCTTCTCTTCAGACTTCTTCTTCTTCTTCTTCTTCTTCTTCTTCTTCTTCTTCTTCTTCTTCTTCTTCTTCTTCTTCAGATTGGAGACTTATACTAGTTGGACAGAGATCAGAGTTGGACTTCGGTGGTAAGAGGCTGTGGTACTTACCGGATTAGAGACTTGGASATTGTTGGGGATGATACTCGGCTGCATCACAGATTTGACACCGGTTACATTAGGACTCTGTATCTCCGACATTGGTGACTTATTGTCCGCGACATTTTGATCTTATTCGTGGACATTTTAGATTACCATATCGGTGACCTACTGGTTTCTATCTCGGTGACATTTGGTGCTACCTACATCTCCCACCTCCTTCGTCTCTCCTCCCACCTCTCATCTGTGTATGTGTGTACGAGGTCTGGGCATCATCTATGCTTGGCCCAGACCCCACCATCTCACGATTGTATGTGTGTGATCTCTGTGCGAGTCAGTCTATGTGAGTCCGTTTATCAGACTTCCGCTGCATATGTGCTCATCCTACATTGGTTGATCTTTGGTTCTGCCCATACTCATTGAAGTATGTAACACACACACAGATACACACACAGACACACACACAGACACACACACAGACACACACACAGACACACATACAGACACACACACACACATGCATATGGGGCATTGATCCTAGCCCCATTCACCTGGGAATGGGTGCTCTCTCGGCTCGTGGTTATTATGCAATTATTCCCACACCATTTGGTTGCACGCATGTCCCACAGGCTACAACTTCAGGTTTGTGGACAGCCTTCTGGTGGTTGTCAGTGCAGATTCGCGTTTTTTTTTTTTTTTTAATATATAACAAAGCAAGCCCCAAGGCTGCTGGGGGTGCTTTTCTTTTTTTTTTCTTTTTTTTTGGGGGGGGTGCTGTTATGAGCAAACGCCTTTAGCAGCCTCGCGGTTGGCTCCAATCTATTGGTGGGGAGCTTCACGTGCTGGAACCGGATCCAGCGTCCTGTTACAGAAAATAGTCCTGTTGCTGAGCTTTGTAGAAAGTGTGGAAACTTCGGTGGCCATTATGAAGTTGTCGTCTGTTGTGTTGTTTTGCAAGTTGTTTTGATAGTTGTTTTGCGCTGAAATGTACGGATTTTTTGCGTGTCGTTTTGTGTGTGTGTGTGTTTGTCTTTGCGGTTTCAATTTTTTTGCAACTCTTCAGTTCTTCTACCCTGATCGTACTTCTCGAAGAGATTGGGTTGGGTGCATAGTGCCTTGTTGCCTCGTGCAGCCTGCGAAGATTTTCATGAACAGAGCCATATGATATAAGACTCTGTCAGTAATGTGTGAGACCTGTCAGAGGCGCTGCAGGTATCATCTCAGCATAAGAGAGGTGGAAGCGTATCAAGGCACTTCAAATTTGTTGCCCGTAGCAACAGCACTGTTCAGTCACCAATATTTGCTGTCGGCGGCTCTCGAAAAACAGTCGTATAGGGTCAGCGACCGTCCCTTTTTCACACGTTGCGAACCCCCAGTTCTCGTTTGACTCTTTACTCGTTGTGAAAAACCGGCCACATGTTCCCCTCGATACATGTCCTCTTTCGCCTCAACCCGTTCACTGCTTGTAGCTGCACCAAGGCTTGGGAGAATGTCCCATCGGAATTCGTATGATATCGGAAGTATTGCTAGCATCAGCACATGCCGCGCGGCCAGGCCTTTGTAATAGAGTCTTCTGCAGGGCCAGCATCTGCAGCGTTTTGGTTTTCTTTTCTTGCATCCTTGAAGTCCGTCTTCCACAAATCGTTAAACAGACTGCATCCTCTGTCTGCCAATCATTAATTGCGCTGTCCATGTTTCTGCTTCAGCCTGTAAAAAGCCGCACACACTCGTTTTCTCCACCGGTTATGCATTATGTTTTTCTTTCGTTTAGAACCGCCTCTAGGCTTACTTCAGTGTTGAATATTTGTGTCGGCAATGCTCGGATGTGTGTGGACCCCGACAAACGACAAAGTGAACTGGTGTGGGGCCGATGGCAACCTGATGTAATCTTGGGAAAGGACGATGCCTCGATGTTCTTGACGAAGTGTGGAGAGATCGTTAGTCGGTTCTCTTATTGTTAAGGTCCAGTATTTTTGGGCTGGTGTATAGATATTTGGAGGGTGGTATTGTGCAAGTAGCGGTTGATGTGTTCAACCCTTTTGAGGATTCTGCAGCTACTAGTACACTTTGGGGAAACCTGTGAGGGAGGCAGGAAGGTAGGTCAATTGGGTTGTGAATTCCACCTGTCCCCTTTGCTGGTTCATGTTTCACCCGCCTGGTGTGGAAACACCCGTAAGTTGGAGTTCCGACCGCCTTTGCTGGTTCATGTTTCGCCCGCCGGGTGTGGAAACACCTATAAGTGGAAACACCAGGGTGGTCTCTGTTACCCTGGCCAGATAATATTCTACCCTTTTCCAAGTTGTTGTGCCTGCTGGCATCGCTGCAGTGCACTGTACGCACTTTGGTGATGCGCGCCTTGCCGGAATGGTTGCACTTTGGTTCATGCAGTGAAGGAGAAGTGATGGGATGGTCTCCCTGTCTCACTCTTCTAGTGAGTGCCCTGTCCAGATTGTTCCTGGATTTACACAGGACAGCAGCGACAGCTTGTGTCTGCCGGGAGTATGCCGAAAAAACATTATGCTGCATTCTGTTGTTCTTTGGGGTCCTGGCAATGCTGGCATTGATTCAAGCTGGGTAACTTACGAACTGTGTTGTGAACGCCCGCCCTTCAGAAGAGGCCTGCATGTACAAAGGAAGACCATCTTCGCAGCAAGAAAATAGAAATTGGCATTCCTTTCTTCCTTTGAAAGGCATCGTACAATGTACCGAACCTCTGGAATTCCACTGGGTCACTTGACTGACTTGACATCACCACCCTTTTTTTTTTTCACCTCCAGAAGTCAAAAGAATACCCACCTTCGACAAGTGCTATGACTACGTGACCACAATGGTTCGCACACATACGCATTTGCTGGGTGACTGCGTAGTGAACGCCCGTCCTTCAGCATCAAAAAGGACCAGAATGGAAGTCACCGCTGTCTTCTTAGAATCGTCCTGTCCCCCTCTATCTCGATGGGCTCATCGTTAAACAGAAGGATAGCCTTTTGTGCTTTCTGTCCCCGTGTTGACAAGTCCCATTCTTCTATTCGGGCTGACAGTGTGTGAACTCCTCATTTGTATGTGAAACTTGGAGTCCGGAGTCGCCAAGGCGAGTCCCATCATCCGCAGCAGCCAGCGGTCTATGATAAGCAGGCCCCTGAACAACAAACTTTTGTAAAGTGACTGCAGTGAACAAACGTACCTGAGACGTTAATCCGTGCCAAGTGGCAGAGGACACCCATGGCCACAGCTCTGTGTGTGCACGAAGCAGCAGAGGACCCTTGGCAATGAGCTAACGCTGTTCAGCAAATGAATAGAAAGCACGATTGAGAGAGAGCATGGTGAGCACCTCCATGATTTTGTCTTATATTCATTCTATTGGCCAGCTGAGATGCCATTTCATGTCTCCTTCGCAGTGTCAGCTTATTCCGTACTTCCCTGAAAGGTCGTCTATCACATGCTAATGTGGATGTGTTTTAACTTTTAAGTTGTAACCTTGGGATCTTGCTGCCGTCTTCCCCCGAACATAACGCACCCTAAAAATGAATGTATACAAGCTATATTTCCGGCCAGATACAGCCAAAATAAGGGTGCGTTGTGTTCGGGGGAAGACGGTAGCTGATTCTCCCTGGGATGTGGGATGCTGGAAACCGAGAGAGTTGTCTCATGAAATCGAAATCAAGAAAGAATCAGAAAAGTATAAGCTGCAAGCGCTGTAGAAAAATACTAAATTTTCGTTGTATCAGGATGCAATACTCGTGTCTGCTTCAGAAGGCCCGAAGTCCATTCACATCTACAAAAGGACGACCATCTTCGCAACAAGAAAATAGAAGTTGGCAGTACCTCACAGTGTAGCGAACCTCTGGAATTCCACTGGGTCATTTGGACATTGCCACTTTTTTTCCTTTTTTTTTTTACCTCCAAAAGAGAAAGAATACCCACATTTTTGAAGTACTATGACTATGGGCGTCGCCGCACGGGACACGAAATGAAAAACGAAACGAGTGCATCTTCCTGCAGAAAGTGGCCAGATTCATCGGTTAGCTATAAATAGTAACGAGTGTATTTTGCCATCTTTCGTGGTCAGATGCATTCGTTTCGTTTTCGTTTCGTGTGCCGTGGGGCGAGACCCTATGTTACCACAACGTTTCACACGCATATGCATTTGCTGCCAGCCGAGTCCTGCAGAGATGATCGTCATGCCAACACAACTCGGTTTTCTGTCGAAAGTTTTCAAAGAACCATTTATTTGCTTCCACAGTCAAAAAAACATAAGAATTCCAGAATGCAAGGAAAATGAGCAATTGCGAAACGACAGAAATCCAAATTGCAACATCAGACATTGAAACCCAGATAGTTGCGAGCTGTCCACAAAGCAGAAATGCGCACTGATATCACACCAAATGAGAACCAAAGCAGCGGAATCGATTGTCAACGAAATCCTTCTCTCGCCACCATCAACAATGTATCCAAAGCTCTTCCTCCTTATTGGCACCCAGCACCAGACTACAAACGTACAGCTCGTAATCTATAGCCTACTCTAATGACGAAGCAACCACTTGACGTCAGCAGCAGCAACCAGAGTACATGCAGATGTCGCTCATGCAGACTTCCACCAGGTACGTGCTCTCACATCCTCCCCATCACACGCCCTTTCAGTGCCCACCCTTGTCTTCTCCCCCACAGCTTTTTCCATGCACCATATGACAACCACCATACCCCGCCGACTTCTTCTTCCCCAAGCCCAGCTAAGACAGGGTAATGGCGCTGCCTTCAGCAGCGCCCAATTCTCTCCCGGCGCCCGTGTGCACCCGGGATCTCTTGCCTGCGGCGTGTGAGCGTTCGTAGTAGCAGCGCTGCCGCATGTTCGCCAAGTGCCCGAAGGGAAGAGAGCCGGGCCTGTGGGCTGCCTGGACTGGGAGGCCCTTGTGCCCAGTCGCTTCACGTTAGGCCAAAGTGTCTGCGCCCAGGACCGCTCAGACAGTGGCTGGGCCCGCAGCAGTTAGGCACGCCCAACTACCTCGTGCGCCCTGAGGTGTTCCCTGCATCATGATAGGCCGACAGGCCTCCGTCCATGTCAAAGCCAGAAGAGCCTAGAAGGCGCACGGAAGATTCGGATGCTCGTGAGCAGGGCTTTTGTAACCAACTGGTGCGCGGTAACTGTCTGGCGCCCACCAGGGCCTGCAATATTCAGGCCTCATTCAGATACAGGGGCTCACCTTCACTTTGGGCGGGCGCAAGGCTTCTAGCAGGGGGCCTGATACAGGGGCTCACCTTCACTTTGGGCGGGCACAAGGCTTCTAGCAGGGGGCCTGTATGTGTTGAGGACACCAATTCTGGCACTCTCTCCTCCATTACTTCGGTAGTCCTCTGAGAAGTCCTTAATCAGCAGGCTGCTTCCCATGCAGTCTTCCTTCATGGCCAGAGATAATCTGCGGAGCAGTCTTCATTAGTTCTTCTCTTGTAAACCGTTGGTCTTCCTTTGGATCAACATGGTAACTGCACTCGATACTGCATCTGCGGTTTTGGAGGTCGATCGCTGCCTGGAGGCTTTGGTACAGGCATCAGCCTGTGTTCAATGATGTCATGAATGCGGACGTGTCCGTCCGTGGTTGGGGGTAGCGTGGATCTCCTTGAAGGAAATCTGTCTGTCTCAGCAAAGGGAGCAATTTTTGAGGCATGGAAAACAAGGTGTGTGCATAGGTGCCCAGGGATTCCGATGACATATGATGGTTCGTCCGTTTCGTCCCCAACTGTGTCCAGAACTTCCCAAGGTCCAAAGTACTGTGGCATGATCTTCCTAGAAATACCCAGTTCCTGACCAAGTTCAGATGACTTGACCCAAACTCTTTCACCTACCTGAGATGCAGAGGGACGTTTGTGCTTGTTCTCGGATGCTACCATAACATCTTGAGCTTTCCTATATGTTCTACGGCCTGCTGCAGCATCTTGTCATATTCCATAGCAAATTCAATGCTGCCGGGTGGTGCTGTGGTTCTCGAGCAGCAGAAAATCAAGAGCTGATCTGGGCTTCCAACCAAGATGCAGCTGGTTGGGAGTCATGCCGGTAGTGCTGTGCACAACATTATTGTACAGGCTGGCAAAGCCTGCCTGACTGTGAGACCGAGGTAATTTCTCATCCCAGTCATCCTGGCTCGGCTTGATGTGGAAAAAAAAAAAAAAAAAAAAAAAAAAAAAAGAAGATTAAAAAGAGATGTAATGCCAGAGCAAGTGCTGATCTACCCGGTTCATGTGCTGTGCGTGGCCATTGGATGCAGGGTGATTCCTCGATGTCATCTGCAGTTGGGTCCTAATCTGCTGTACCGTGCTCTGCCATAGCTGACTTGTGAGTCTGACGTCCCTATCACTAACAATGGACTTAGGAAGACCGAAGTCACGCACCCAATTGTCCATGAACGGCTTGATTACATGGTCAGTTATGGCCCTTTCTGGCATAGCAATCAGTCTATCGTACATTCGTCCACTTTTGCTGGTCACCAAGGTATCCATGAAATCCATAAACACACTCTGGCCAGGGCCAGCTGGGATAGGAAAGGGCTTGATAAGCCCACGTGGTGCCTGCGTCCTTGGTTCGTCATGTTGACAAACCTGACATGGTCTACTTCTTTTGCATCATCCAACATCATGGGCCACCAAAACCGCTCCACAAGTTCATTGATGTTTTCGTGAAACCAAAATGACCGGTTGCGTCATGATATTCACCTAGAAATAAACTATGCAAAGACTCTCTACACGGACAGTCTTTTATTCCCGGCCTTCTCGAGAAACAGCATGCCATTGACCAGCACAAACTCGTCTTGGCCTTATTTTTGGCCTCGAGCATGTGCATTATCTCAGACATTACCGGATCTTCTCCATAGGCTTCCACCATGGATCGAGTTACATCATCAAATATACCAAAACTCAATCACTAGCGCACCCAAATAATCTGCCCTCCTAGACAAAGCATCTGCTACCTCACTCTCCCATGAGGTACCTTACTCTCCCATGAGGTGGGCCATCTTGGAGTTTTACATATTTATGATTTCAATCCATCTCGAGGAGAGCAGGTTTCGTCTTAAACAAGCATAGTGTCTCATGGTCAGATCTCTCGTAGAAAAATCTGCCAAGGAGGTGATGCCTCCAACGAGTCAACAGCTTGTATCACTCATGTGGACGTAGCTAGCTTTTGAGATTGGATCTTCTTACTCATGTACTCGATTGGCCTTGACTTTTTCCACTCTTGCTCCACGAGGACCACGCCAATGTCATATTTGCTAGCATCCGTGGTCATGATGAATGACTTTTCAGGATGTGGAAGCTTCAAGACTTCGTGGTGCATGCTTGAAGGCTGCCTTGCACTCATTTGTCCAGTCCCACGGGGTATCAAGGTCCGTGAGATCTGTCAATGGGGAAGCTATAGTACTATAGTTTTTCACAGACGGACGATAGTAGGCCGTCATCCCCAAGAAGAACCTCACCTCCGTCACAGACCGAGGTCTAAGCCAGTCACGTATGCCTGCAATCTTCGCATCGGCGATATTTTATGACCCAGATACAAAAACTTGGTGCGACCAAACTCGCAAGTTTATCTTCTACTGGTGCTGGGGAAGGAGACTCAAAAAAAAGTCTACATGTTTGGCGCGCTCCTCCACAATTGTACTGAAGATAAGAATGTCGTCGAGGTACACGACATTAAACTTATTTAAGTAGTCATAAATATATCATGTTCACGGCGTTCTGGAATGTGTTAGGAGCATTGCATAGACCAAAAGGCATCACCACAAACTCGAAACAGACCATACCTGGTTTGAAAAGTTGTTTTATGTTGATCCTAAGGCCTAATGGCAAGTTGATGGTACCGGCATCCCTGCACTCTGTCTAGAAGGTCATCGATGCGTGGTAGGGGCTTTGCGTTCTTCACAGTGTCGACTTTGAGGCCCCTATAGTTAATGCACATTCTAAGGGTCCCCCCTTTCGTCTCAACCCATCAACCGATATTTTATGACTCAAATACAAGGGTTTTTTTTTTTTTTTTTTTTTTTTTTTTTCAACAGACCGAGGTGGTGCTAGGGGTGTTGATAAGAGCAGACACCACTAACACTCTCGGGGAGGCTCCATCTATTGGTGGGGAGCAACACCTGCTGGAAACCGGGTCCAACGTCCCTGAACATCGTGCTTGCTTGTTTGTTTGTATGTGGAAACAACTGTGACTAGGAGATGCCTGCCAGCATTGATTACTCTGTTACCAGAGGATTGACTGTGCAGGATGTTGAGACACAGGGAGTAAACCTCTTCGCCCTATACTGGGCGCCCGAATCCTACTACTGAAGGACTGGTTCCTCCCTCTCCCAACTGCCTTTCACCTGACAGCTCTTCTCTTTTTGACCAAAAATCCGTCTGTTCCACTCAAACCCCCCTGGGAGTCAGAGGGAACCACTGGGGGGCACTAGTGGATTTTCTCCTCCTCCCCTCCTCCTCTGAATCCCCCACCCACCCACCCACCCACTGAGCACAGCATTCCTTCTAGGGGCAAAAGAAAAAAGATTGCTGGTCTGAGAAAAAAGGGTGAAATTTGCCTCTGGCTAACCCCTCCTCATCAGAGCCTTTCCTCCAGTGCCAGCGGGTGCGGTGGAAAGGGATCTGAGAAGTCTTCTGCGGGTCGCAGGGGGATGCAGGGATCCACTTCTGTCCAGTTTTTGAAGGAAAGGTGATAATCTCGGGGGATTACAGCTCGTGTGCCCGTCTTTCTCTCATTGTCCTCCCCACTCTTCTCTCCTAACCAGTATACTCTTCCTACCCATCCCTCCCTCTTCCCCCCTAACCATTCCTCAACAAACTGAGTAATCTTGTCTGATATATCCTTACCTGTATGGAGGGTGTCTAGAGTTCTTTTAGTTTCCTGCCACCTCTGCGTCAGTTCCAACTGGAAATGGATTTTAAACAGATCCTTTCTTTCCTCTCCCTCCACCTTGTTTCCTTCTAATGCCAACGCACAGCGTTGCCACCACAAGGTCCACAAGACCGTTTTCCTTCCTAATGAGAACATATTCCTTTCGAATGTATCTTTCTGTGAGGTCGGATGATAACCTAACAGGATAGCTCTCCAGTCCCAGGGCCATGCCTGATTTGGGACCATCTGTCTCTAGATCCTACTATCCCACCATCTCCATGTTAGGATGGCTGTTGGGCATTGCAAAAAGATGTGTTCGATTGTCTTCGGTCTTTTCCTAGTTGGGAATCCCTGCTGGCAGCGTGTGCACCGTGGTAGGGCCCTGCCTTGTTGTTCCAACTGCGTATGGTCGATTAGCCAATTGTTTGTCCGGAGGCAGCGGTGAGCGATTTGCCATTGAAGTGAAGTGATTTTTGCCGGCCTGCACTTGCAGGTGCGACCAAACTCGCATATCTCCAGTGTTATTTTGTACTGGTGTTGGCAAAGGAAACTCAAAACCAAGTCTACCACAAAATGTTCGCCTGTAGGACCTTTGTCATCATCGTCCACGAGTTGCGTGAATCTTTCTCTGACCACTCTTTTTCGAACTCCTCTAAGGACGTAGACACGTCCATCGTACAGAGAATCGAGTGGTCCAGGTCTGTCTGTGGGGCGAATATAGAGTCAATAGCCTCGACTATCATATGAAGTGGAGAGTGTGTGGCCACCACTTCAGTCTGAGCAACAGCAGTTAATACTCCTACTGGCCTGATGTGTTTCTTAAGTGCTCGGAACAACACCACTCGAGGTTGAAGGTACCTCAGGCCTGACAGTGGGTGCACTTTTGCAATGACTCTCTTGCTTTTGCAACAAGCTATTGTGTTTCCATACTGACCACAATTCAGACTTGCGCCACGAGTATAGTGGTCACGCCACACATCGTACTCAAAACCAAGTTTTACCTGGCGGCTGCCTTTCTGTTTCCCAGCCCCCTTAGCCTTCTCCTTTAAGGGAGTTACTAATCCACCTTCCGAAGTCTTTGTGGCCCCTTCCCCAAGATCAGAGAAGTCAACTTCGATCATGTTGCCTTCATTGTCAACAAACATGAGGTTGCCCTTTTTCCTCCAATCTCGAGGAAGCTTCTTCTTCCTCCCATCCGTGACAACCTGTTGCGCATTCTCGTATTCTTCCACAAGCTCTCTCTCTCTCTCTCTCTCTCTCTCTCTCTCTCTCTCTCTCTCTCTCTCTCTCTCT